AGCATTTCGCGGGCAGGACGGGTGGGCGCGGATGGCGTTGTCCGAGGCTCCAGACATTAGTGGTTGAGCCGTTCTGCGGTAGATACGCTGGTGTTCGTCGGCGCTGATGCGTTACCGACAACACGGAGAACAAGTTGGCACTGAGTCCACGCTATTGGCGGCTATCCTCTGGGTCCTGGGAATGTCATGTAGTATGCACGAAGGCGGCTCCCAGGACGAACGGAAGCAGAACGCTGGCGTGACAGTGACGGCTGGCGGAATATACACCCTCAGTTATGATGGCTTTGTGGTATGCGGAGGGTCTGGCTGGCCATGTTGACATGAAAATTAATCAGAAGACGTGTAACAAGGCCCATCCGAGCCCTGGATATCAGCTAACCATGCAAACATTTTGCCAGGGAGGGGGTGGACGTCATCAGTGGTGGTCCGCAACATTCCCGTTTTACACAATTGAAGACAAGAACCTATTTCGTAGCCGTACCTGTTAGGGGTTAGGCTGGGACTTGTCTACTGCAGGTACGGCTAAGAAATAAGATCCGATCCGACTGAACTCCTTCATTCCGTTCTCCTTGATAACAGTTACCCCAATTGTCACAGTCGACCTCCCCTGACTGTTGGTCCTCACAAGCGTTCGCCAGATATCTCCGTCAGCCTGGAGGTACGTGAGGGAGGTCATTGTGGCGTTGTTTTTTTTCTTTTTTACCGTCTGTTTTCGCGATCGCCGACGCTGCCAGTTACTCATGTCACCCTTCTGTCCGCCCCACTACGCTGCCCGTCAGTTAGCTGCTAGCGCCGCGGACGACTTGGCACCAGCTTGTGAGAACTTGGAGCCAATCACGCTGCGTCCTTCGATGATCGCCTTCAGGCGGACGCAGCTCAGACAAAGGTATGCACGCCTGGAGTGGTGGCCCAACGACCTTAAAGCCAAAGCGTTGGTTGCCACTGCTTGCCGAGTTGCACGTATACTACATCGTCTCAGTAAATGACTGTCCCCAAACTGTCTTCCCTACCTCCTGATTTGGGAGACTTCAAGTTGTCGACCATCCTATCTCGAAAAACCTGCTTTTCTGTCGGGCGCATGCTTTCGCATGCTTTCCAACGGAGTTTGACCGTTTGACATGAACGATCACAAGGGAAGCCAGGTGAAAGTAGTCTGAATGTCGATCGGCCGCCCACTCCACTGTCACGTCAACTTGTCTGCGCCCTACCTGGCCTTGAGAGGCCGACTGAAAGGGGACGATGAGGGCAAATGGTCTTAAGGACCGCCAGCTATCGTCCCAATCTGCCAATGCGGTGTGACACAGACCACAAAGAAACAGGAGCCCGTGGTTGGCAGTTGCGGTCTGCGCGCGATGCACAGTGTACCCGCATGCGGCAGTTCGACCGTTGATTTCGATGATGTCCGCCGTGTGTTCCACAGCAGGGTAAGAGTGGGAAGGGCGACTTGTGCTGCATCTACCGCACTCCCTTCTCGCCCACTGGGGCGCGGTGTCAAGACAGAGCCAATAAGACCGGAAGTGGGGGAGGCCACAGGTAGGTGGCTGGCACATCGAATGAACCTGCACCTAGGCGTACCACCACACCCCCTGGTCCATAACAGACACTGACCAGGATTTAATACGGCAGTAAAATAGGAAAATGGCACGGATCCAAGTTGGCACGGTATCAGCCTGCGAACGGGCGTGTCACCACACCCCAATACCGGCATTTTTTATGGGTGCGCATTTCCGATAACGCCTGCAGGACTGCGATCTGGTCCCCAATGTTGGTCCAGCGCATTTACCGCATGGACCGTTGTAGGGGCAAGCCGCGAGCTGTATTGTGGAAGCTGTACAGGGGGGCCTCCAATGTCTGAAGATGGACAGCTGGAAACGTTTATTGAGACATCGTAACGCAGATATACCACCCCGGCGAAAGGTAATCCTTCTCATGTTCTGTATAATGTCCTTCATCGCACCAAGCCATTCTCCCACACCGCCAGGTCCGCACTGGTGCCCGGTTAATCACAACCATGCAAGCCAACCAACTAACTTCGAGGTTGGTACGGACACGTTCGTACTGGGAAACGATCAGAGGCCTTCCCCAACACGATCGGACGCGACGTGGAACATCATACGCCAGCTTTCAATGTAAAACGATTAAATTGCCGTCGGTGCACACACTCAAGTATGTGCCAGGCAGCAACACAGTGCAACGTAGCAGTTGCTCATCTCCTACGTCGAAGTTCTGGGGAAAAATACGTCTACAGAAAGAAATACTAGAAGAAATGAAGGAGAGAGTACCTTGGTGTAAATTCGGCCAATAGACTCGACATAACCAACATTTGGTAGCAACATGACTAGCTGTGGTTGACAGAGGTGACTGAACAAAGCTCGTGGTTGGGTTAGGGGGTCGAGTGCTAATAACTTCATAAATAATGACTTGCTCCGGACATTACTGGAGCAACTGGAAACAACCTTAGCGTGATTATTCAGTCACTTATTGTATGTCCTTCAGTGTGCTGAACCAGCACGGAGGCTACATCGACGTCGACAGGCGTTATCGGGAATGCACAACAATAACAAATATCGAAAATCGGGGTGCGGTGGCAGGCACAATTACATGCCCACGTCGCGCCAGTACAGATCCCTGACGCCTCCGATTGTTTTTGTGGGTTAAGATCGTAGTCAGGTGTTTTTTGGGACAAAGGGTTGTGATGGTACGCCGTGCCAGCCACCTGTGCACTCTCCCATCTCCAGTCTTTTTGACTTGGTCATGATACCAGACCCAGGTAAAGGGTGAGGAGGAGAGAATGCTCTATAAGCAGCTCAAGTCTCCTATCACTATAAGCTAATTTACACGCAAGTCACGGTCCCTGCTTTCACCCTGCTGTGGAGCACACGGTTGACATCGTCGAAGTCGACGGTCGGACTGTCATGTGCCTTTTTGATACACTTGCGTACCACCAGACTCGGTCGCAAACATTTGCCGGCAGTGCCTATTCGCTGTCGAATTGCTGTTGGGTGGAATGTCCACGACACGAGTTGCGCAGTCCGGACTGGCGACTGCGTGGCCTTGGTCGCGGGAGAAGAAGCAAATCAGGAACGAACACGTTTTCACAAAGGCATCTCCACAGGAACATTAGTTGAGCAAATTAAAACCGTGACACAAGCTTATTAGCCCCTAACTGCTCAGGTAGCACACTTCAGTGGGACCCTTGGTCGTACGTACGTACGTACGTGAAACTGCCATTGCGAATAAACCACTGCAAGTTCACCGTCAATCCCGAACGATCCTGATTTTTCTCTACAGCTGGTAATCCTCTAATTCACCGCTGTTAACTCATTGTGATAGTCCCAAAACACATTGGACTGTTTAGGAAATAGACCCCGCTCTCTTCTCCCTTGAGATGCGGCCGTGGACTCAATTCAAGATACAGAAACCAAACAACCTCACTGATCATAAATGCGACGCTAGGGACATCGTTTCAGACTTGCTGTACGTACAGGCCTAGACCCCTATCCTATTTATTTTATACGTCATAAAAGAAGATGAAAGAATTCATAGATGTTTTAGCAGATTTTGAATAATTCATATTGACCCAACTGTGAAAAACTCGGCGCCTCGATGGGATTAGAACCCACGCAGTAAGGAGAAGGCTTTAGTACAGCCAACGCTCTAACCACATGAGCTAAGAGGCCCCGCCGGACCACGCGAGTTTAATCACATTTGGGTCAAGTTACCCATCCAACCTACTGCAACGTCTGGAATCCACCAAATCTGATACAGTAAGTTGACTGCCCAAGAAGGATTTCCTAAGTAATTCACCTAGAATACACCAGATGACTACCAGGCTCTCGTAATTCATAGATGTTTTGGCAGATTTTGAATAAATCATATTGACCCAACTGGGTTCGAATCCCACCGAGGCGCCGAGTTTTTCACAGTTGAGTCAATATGAAAATGAAAGAAGGCTAATTCGATGTGCAGTGCATTGTATTCTGATAAAATAAAACGTCGCCTGATCTGTTTTCTTCCGAATGGACATGTGTTTATTGAGACTGTCTATTTCAGAATCAGTCATCCCTGTTTTCATCAATCCAAATTTAGCATTTGTTTAAAAGGGCATCTTTTCACGAAGGCGACTATTTTAATCTGACAGTTTGCACTTAGGACACTCATGGTGCTGGCCACAATGGAGCGCCATACTAGAGAGACATTTACCGATCTATTCTGATTTTAGGGTGCAAATGGTTATCACAGTTTTGCCTTCTAGCACTCACTCAGGATGTACCGGAATGGTGATTAATCGATAATTCAACAGTGTTACAGACAGAGACTAGGGGCGCGGTCAATACACGCGAACAGACGACGTCGTGGATGCAGTTGAGAGGCGGGAGATTCTACCGCTCGCGAGAGAGAGAGAGAGAGAGAGAGAGAGAGAGAGAGAGAGAGAGAGAGAGAGAGAGAGAGGCCATTATTCGCCGGGGGCTTCGGATTCACCTTTGAGTCTATCGTCAAGGTCGGCAGCGGACAGGGTGAGGACTTTGAAGCCCTACGTCTCTAAGGTCGTACTGGGCGTGTTGCATTGCTATCACGCATTTCACTCAGACGAGCAGACGGTATGGCCCAGTTTCCGGCCATGGACGCACACGGTCACCGTATCGTGGGCCAACGACCGGTCAGACAGCGTGACTTTAGCCCTGGTCAGGGGCAGACGACCTTCCTCAGTTTTGTCCAATGTACATGTACAGCGTTCATGTACAGCGTGTACCAAAATTCTCCCACGTATGGGTTGAGTGCGGGCGCTAATCACCCTGACCGCACACACACAATCGCACATTTTCATAGGTGCATTTTAGATGTATTGGGTAAATGCCTGTCCAGTAACGAGGTTGGTAACGGCGGGCGTACTTCAGCGTTAAGCGCTAAGGCGGTGGCGCGGTCTCACGCTATCTCAAAACCAGACTTAGAACAATTCCTTTCAGAAAAAGCATACCCGCGCGAGTGAAAAGGATCCCATGAATACCTCCCAGTATTACTACTACTACTACTACTACTACTACTACTACTACTACTACTACTACTACTACTACTACTACTACTACTACTACTACTACTACTACTACTACTACTACTACTACTACTACTACTACTACTACTACTACTACTACTACTACTACTACTACTANNNTAGCTATGAGAATTTATCACGAATGCGGAAACACTCCATCGTGGTCGATGAATGGTCGCGTAGCAACTGTATCATAGAGATACCACGCCCTTTGCACGTCCATTAATTGTATCTCTTGTTGCCCCTGATGATAGGCTCCATCTAGGGTTTCAATTGTCAGACGAATATAGCTCTTGTTTCCGCCTTCGAGTCTCCTTAGCAGTTATGAGTGATAAGCATATCGGGCACACTAAAGTTACAATTCGGGTCTAGTGGATAATTGCGCCTTTTAGCTTAGACGGTCTATCGAATTTTAGGCAGCAGATCCAGGGCTGGTATGCGGATGACTAAGCTGCAATTGTACACTGCTTTGTTACCAGATGTCGAGTCCACCCCTGCTGCCTCCCAAAGCGCAGGTTTCAGCAGACAGAATAATACTGGGATGCCTTATAACTAAAGCTCCGTATGTCCGATTAACCAAAGCTGATTTTGGGACCATCAATCACTTGAGAAAAGAGACAAATGATGTTTCCTCGTTATAAGTGTTCTTATTATCGTCACTTATTACAGAGCATGTTGTAGTTTGGCGAAAAAATGCTGTCGTTGTTCACGTATTTGAATGATGACTTATTTTATAAGTTGACTAACCTGATTGTCTGTACTGTCAGCAGCCGCGATTGGACCTACTACGCGCCCTGGTCCATTCCTTTATTGTTCCTGTGATGTGGTTCAACTAGTAGATTGTTTTAAATGTCAAGATGGATAAGAAAGCAGTAACATTCCTCCAAGTTCCTTGGTTTTCGTGGTCCAGAAAGTGAAAATCTCAATTTAAAACTAAAGCAGAAGAAGACTGATCGAGCAACGGGAGAATTTGTTTGTCATTCCGAATGTCCGAACTCGTATAGGGGCACATCGTCAGAAATAACAGCAGCAACAGAACAAACACCAGGGATAGAGGGTTTTAGCCAATCAGTGCCCACTGGCGGAGGTCTGGAAGTGACCTTGCAGGGCTCAGTGCCCGTCCGTCCGTTAAAAATAATAGACCAATTTTGGTTCTTTAATTCAGGGAGTTTTTTCCTGCCTCTCGGACTAAACCCCCACACATTTTTTCTCACACTGTCACAAGTCTTGGCTGACAAATCATCCGTAACTCCTTGAAATTATGATTTACTGTGACGAAATTCTAACTATCACTTACCATTTGTCACGAAAAAAGGTCAGTTAGTTATTTTTGAAGCGTTAACCTAAATTCTGAGGTGTGTTTTCGACTCGAAAACATTACTTCAGTAGGCCTGTAATATTAATTATTTTGTAGCATAGACCTAACATGTAGTAGGTGGCCTAACTCATGAAATGCCATGAGTTAACACAAGAAAATCCCTATAACGCGTAATCCGCTCAACCGGCGTTCCCCTAAATCTTACGGCAGTAGTAAACGTTTGTTCTTAAAAAGAAGGCATAATTGGGGTTGTAAATTAATATTGACTAATGTAAAAGTAAATAATTTTCACTGAAAAACTAGAGTTTCAGAAAATGGTCATATTACAAGTCGCTTAAATAGCGCTTACGTTAAGAGTGGAAAATGAAGGGGGACGCATGAAATCGTAAAAATAACGAAAAATAATAACAAGTGCAGACGATCGGTACTTTGTTGATTGTCCATTTGCATCAATTACGCCTGTAAGTCTTTCAGGCATGGGGATGGTCGGGTTGTCTACAATGGCTTCTTTAATGTGATTGTCCAGAATACGATCAAGCTTTTCACGCGTTGACAGTTTCTTATTCATTTTAATGACGCCAGGATGCTAGCCTTTAAATGGACTTCTTTTAGGCCGTCTGCAAAAAATACACTCCGTAAAAGATGGCTGCTTAAGTAGTATGACTAATTCCTATTGACTTTCGCTATCTTTATAAATTAAAAAAAATGTTACACAGAAAACATGCACAAAAATATTATCACCTGTACTCATGTAGTAGCAAGTTGCGTCTTCTTCAAATTGTTTACTTGAAGAGGGAGTATCTCCTAGTCTTAAGAGAATTTATAACTATCAGATTTTTGAAGACCGCGAAATGTCCATTCATACGCCATCGCATCAGCACGTTCATTAATGCTACTTATGCACTACACAGCCTGGCCCAATCAATTGCACGGTTTTATTAGTCCTGTATGACATCTTTATAACAGCACAGAAAATTGCGTGACATTCCGTTGACGGAATTTATACAGCGTATAGCTTGGAGACCCAGAATGCAGGTGGCACGGCAGATGGAGCAAAAAAATCTTCGGAAATTAAAAAAGTCCTTAAAATAGAAAGATACCACTTGCCGTGTTGGTGGGCCAAATGTCCGATTAGGATTAGAATTAACAGTGTTGAAGAAGCTGCGGCGACGAAACAATCGTCGAAGCAAACACAACCGCCTGCGGCGAATACCTAAGGTGCTGATTCGGACAGACATCTGCACCCCCTGCAGCTAAATCCTATGAATACTACCCTCTTTGCACATCTAGGACCCTTATATGTTGTTGTCTTCGGTTAGACGCTGGGATCAGTATGCTCCCCCCTACTCCTCCTCCTCATTCTCCTGCTCCTGCTCCTGCTCCTACTTCTGCTCCTCCTCCTCCTCCTCCTCCTCCTCCTCCTGCTCCTCCTGCTCCTCCTCCTGCTGCTGCTGCTGCTCCTCCTCCTCCTCCTGGATGTTTTAGATGCTCGAGAAAATCCTTAGCAGAGTTCTGAGTTTATATTGTCAGCTTAAGCAGGTTGTGGCCATACAGTGTGCAGTAATAGGCACTCTGAGTGTCGGACGAGGGCCTGAATCTTTAGAGGTGACGAAACAGCGATGCAGATTGCTGCATATTTATTTCAGCACTGTGGCGAGTAACGAAGAGCCACTGACGTGGGTATGCTCGAGGCGCAGGCGACAACCCACTCGGTCAGAGAACCCAGAAATGTTTCGATGGCACCAAGAAGACCAAAGTGCATCCCGCGATAACTCATCAAAGTGCCAAACTGGGGAAGTCGCCGGTGTCGTTTAGTACTTACCAGAAGGCCAAAACAAAATAAATATTCAGGTGCGCATCATGTTGAAGGAAGTGCCATAAAAGTTCCAAAGATCGGTAACTGGAGGCTAAACAGGGATGGTTGTGTTGAATGATGTCGGAAGGTTGTGGCGGGGTGACACTAGCAAGTCATTGAACTGGACAGCACGCGCAAGTGAGATAAAAAGGGCTCTCGGTTTAACGTACAAGCCTTAACTGCAATATTTGTCTAAAGTCGGACTTTCCGTCCAAGCGCCGACGTTTCCCATGCAGCCGCCTTTGCTTTGCTCTCTCCCTTGTCTTCGAGACTCTGTCGGTTTTGATTTTCCCGAACTAGCCTCAGGAACGAAATCCTAGATTCTCCTGGATGTTGCCGCAAATAAATGTCTACTCAGTGTGAATGACAAGCCCACCGACGTTGTTCCCTGCAGGTTGCGTTTTTTTCCAAGACATCCAATCACCCTTCTGCTCTTAATTCTACTCGGGAATACCCGTTTAATGTTTCTATCAACTACGTCAACCTTCCCAGACTGCATTGTACAGATCGCTCACTTTCTACTCCCGTAGTTTACTGAGATGGAATTACGGGCACCTTCAGTACTCTCAGCGCTTTACAAGGTACGCTGCAAAACACTGAGTGCAAACTCATGACATTTTTATGTGAATTCAAAAATATAAAATTTTCGATCAAATGATGGGGTCTACTTCTCAAAATTCACTAATGAAAAGCCTTAGCAACGTTCTGGGTTTATAGCACCAGAGTTAATGAGGTTGGACCGGACATTTTGCGTTGAGGGATCTCTTCGATAGACGAGTGTGGGGGGGGGGAATACAGATGATTTGTGAATGCCTCATACAAGGCGCTTAACTCGAAACCTCCCTGGTACTTTCACGGTCTTTCATATAATTACCTTGCTGCATTGTGCGTCGAATTTCGCGGCCTGGCTCCATCTCAGATTCAATATGTAAGCGTGTCTAGATACAAATTGTGGATTTTTTTCGCTGGTTCGCAGATTCCTGCGAACAGTGGACCTTTTCATTTCTGGTACATGCTTCCTCAGTTGGTTTGCCAGTTGATTACATACACGGAAAGGTACTGCTATATTTCTGTTAAAATATGTATTATTACAATGTGTTTAAAACTGTATTATGTATTAAATAACAGTCTTCAGTGATATAAGACAAGAATATCCCCGCGTAGTTTATAAACAGTGAGTTTACATGCATAATTTCAACAAGTTTTATTCAATATCTAAGAGTACATAAAGAGTCTACACTGTATAACTATGTGGGAGATATTTATGGGAATGTGGGTGGGTTTAGAAGAGCTTAAAATATATACTATATACTTTTACTTCTAGGACATTCACTTTGGGCGAGGGTTCTGGAACGTAACATATCCAATCGAGGTAGGATCACTGTAAAAGTAATATGAAATACCGGCGAACATAATCAGTTGTAAGAATAGTTTAGGGTTTGGAACCTAATTGTAGTTAAGGTATATGAAATTGCAGGCTCTCTTATACGTACTCGGATTGTCATTGAGTGTCTCGAAGGAACTGACCATAGGAAACATGAGCAATTAGGCAGGCGTCAACAAGCTCCGAGACATTATGAAGTCGATGGAGAAGAAGTCTTGCTACAAGAAACTGACAAATTTTGTTTGAGCTTGAAGGAAATAGCGTTGGTTAGATTTGCAGGAAAACGGTCCACGTTTTTGCAAGTAGCTTGCTTGAACTATAAAACATGACGCCATTGTCAGCTCGAAAGACTCTTATAACATAGGTCTGTGGATAAATGCTTGAGGAGGATTCCTGGTTAACCTCGTCTCAATGTCTATTGTCGGCCCCCTTCCTGGCGCACCCAATCATAATCAGTGGATGCAGAAAAGCGTGCCCTCCTCATCGGTCTCACGTCAACAATTGCTGCTTCGACTGGTTATTTTAAGAAAATGGGGATGATCAGAAGAAGAAGCGATCGCTGGAACAATAGCTTTATTCGCCTGACGTTTCGGATTCTCCCTTGAATCCATCATCAGAGACAGTTGCAGAAAAGGGTGGCTAGTGTACAGGAAGTCGCAGTATTTATAG